AAAATATATTTCACTTAAATCATTAACAGATTAACAAAACGAAAGAAAAAAATTGTGCTGAGTTTCGGAGAGTAATTGTAAAGCGCTCCGAAGTTCACAGGAAAAAAAAACACGGCAGAAAGCAGTTTTCTTTATTTTACAAAAGCTTTACAGGTAATTTTGCTACAAACATTATTTTTGAATGCAATAATAAAATGCAACGTACAGCCTACTAATTTAGGCAGTTTTTTTCCTCTCAAAATTAACGCTTATAGGAGTAGCAGGTTTTTTTTAATCCATGCTGCAACATTTTTAAATATCTTGAAAAAAAAATGATTTAATGTTTTTATTGCGTTGACAGTTTTTTCTTTTGTTTAATACATTTGGTCTTTGGTAAATCTAGAAAAGATGATGCTGTATTGGCTATGATTAAGAGAGATCATTCAAGACTCTTCATGATTTTTTTTCTTTTTGAGTACATTAAACGCTGTACTTTATTATTATTATTATTATTATTATTATTATTATTATTATTATTATTATTATTATTATTATTATTATTATTATTATTATTATTATTATTATTATTATTATTATTATTATTATTATTATTATTATTATTATTATTATTATTATTATTATTATTATTATTATTATTATTAGCAAAGAAAAAGTTTAAAAAACAACGTTATTAACCGGTATGTTGTCTACTCAAACCGGTTTCACAGAGGAATGCAGGAACAGAAACGTTCAAATACCGATTCTGCTCCGAGTGAACCAATCTTTTTTTTTTTTTTCTCGTTTTTAAGCCCTGCTTTATGCAATTTACCAATATTGGTATCGGAATCAGCCAATAGTTGTTTGTTCAAATCGGTATCGACCAAAAAAAATCCTACCGGTGCATCCCTATGTGACAGTAAACGCATTTACAATCTTACAAAAGATTTATTATTTATTAAGATTTATTGTTAGATAAAGAAGTTAACACTGTTCTTTTAGAACTTTCTATAAATCATAGAATTCTGAAAAAATGTATCCGTTTTTTTTACATTGATAGAAATAAGAATAATTGAGCACCAATAATAATTAATAAAGATCATGTGACACTGAAGACTGCAGTAATGACTGTGGAAAATTCAGCTTTGCATTCACAGGAATAAATAAAAGGGATCATCTGTCTGATAATAGTCTGTATGAGCAATTTCAATCTGGCTTCCGTTCACATCATAGTGTTGAGACTGCATTAGTTAAGATTTCCAATGATTTAATGACTTTGATGAGTTTACATCAAAGCCTTCATATTTTACTCCTGGGGTTCCACAGGGCTCAGTTTTAGGTCCTCTCTTATTTCTTATTTATCTTCTACCTCTTGGTAATATTTTTAGGATGTTTGGTATTCAATTCCGCTTCAATGCTGATGACACCCAACTTTACCAGTCCTCTAAACCCACCTCTACTTTTCCTCTGTCTATCCTCTCAGATTGTGTAGCTGAGAGTAAAGACTGGTTTACATCAAATCTTCTTAAACTAAATATTAGTAAGACTGACATTCTTCTTCTTGGTACAAAAACCAATCTGTCCAAGTCTAAATGTTCCTTAATGAATATAGATCATTTTCCAGTGTCTGTTTCTGAACAGGTTAAAAGTTTGGGTGTCATCTTTGACAGTGTTTTATCATTCGAAGCATATATAAACCGTGTCATTTCGCTCTGTATATTTCCACATACGTAATATTAATCGACTTCATCTGGCTCTTTTGGTAAAGAGCACAGCAATTCTTGTTCACGCTTTAGTCACTTCCTGTATTGAGCATTGTAATGCTCTTTTTTTTTTTATGGTCTGCCTTCAAAGCTTCTCAATAAACTTCCGTTAGTACAGAATTCAGCTGCACATATTATTTGCAGAACTCCTATAACTGAACACATTTCTCCCATATTACAACACTTGAATTGGCTCCCAGTTCAGTACCGTATTGACTTTAAATCCTTCTTCTTACTTACAAGGCACTCAATAATACTTATCTGACCTCCTTCATATCTACACTCCTACTCGCACTCTAAGATCATCTTCTGTACTCACTCCCACACACAGATTTATTTATTAATGTGTGATTATATATATTTTTAAATGGATTATGAAAACTTAAATTATTCTAATAGATTTTTAGAATTTTTACAACTCTTTTGCTTTAAAACATCTACAAATGTTAAAACTACAAATAAAATGCCAACATCAAAATCATTTGTTTATAATCTCTGCACAGGAGAGACTTGGTGTTCCAAAAAAAGGAAATATATTTGTATCAGCATCAGCTATCAGCCAAAATGAGTTGAAAAATATTGGTTATCGGCAAAAATCCAATATTGTGCATCCCTAGAATTCTGATTTCTTGTTTCTCTACTGTCAATGTAGGCTAATGAAATGCTACTGAGTGGGAGGAAGTTGACAGCTCAGGAGGCTTGTGCCAAAGGACTTGTGTCCCAGGTTCTGTGGCCAGGGACCTTCACACAGGAAGTCATGGCTCGCATCAAGGAGCTAGTATCTTGTAATTCAGTTGTAAGTCATCTTTTCATTTGTTTGTTTTGTTTTTTTTTTTCTTCTTGTTACATTTTGTCAATGCATACATCCACACAATCCCTTCAACTTTTCATATTGTTTTTTTTTCCTGTAATGGTCTTTCATTGTAACTCGTGTGCATTTGATTCTAATAGTCTTTTTAGAATAAATTGTAAATAAGCTTTATCCTTAAAAAAAACAGCCTAATTTTCATTTTTGGGTGAACTAACCCTTTAAACATGCTTTAAACCCTGCTTAGACCCTTGAGGATTTTGAATCATTGATACATCATGTATTTTTTGTTCAAATGCCGTTGTGATAACACTTCTTTACAAATTCACAATGCATCCACATCCATAAGTCATGTGCCTTCTTTTCCTTTTCTTCCTGATTTTGTTCCCCTCATTGTATTTGTCATGCCGATGCTGCCGGAAACGCTGAAGGTTCTGCGTGAGTCCAAAGCACTGGTGAGGAACATTAACCGGGCCGCCCTGGAGCAGGCCAACGAGAGGGAATGTGAGGCACTTAAGAGGGTCTGGGGCTCTCCTCAGGGCATGGACTCCATACTCAAATATCTCCAGAAGAAAATCGATGAATTCTAAGTCAGTTAAATGTCCTACGGGTGTCAAAACCTCCATCCTCAAGTGCCTGATGTTATTTAAACAAGGTTTGTCAGTGGTTACTTTTTTAGTAGGATTTTTTATGGAACAGTGGAAGACTGGCGTGGTCAAACCCGCACTTCATCTTCGTTCAACTTTCATTTTCTTCAGACTGCAGAAAGCAGCGTCTCATTCTGCTACACTTGATAATGACTTTAATGCAGTTTGTGATAAATCTTGCACTGCGCAGAAGGACAAAATGCCTTGATATATGTCAATTCCTGTCATCTTTCTGCTCAATTTCTGTTGTATCAAGTAATGACTTGCTTTGTCATAGAGGTAATACGGATTTGGGCTACTTTTCGAAGCACCACCTATGCAGACTGTTTGAGAAAAGATGGATAACATCAGTGTAATTCAAGAAAGGGATGCATGAGACTTGAATAAGTTGAATTTTGCCCGTTTTGGATATCGCTACACTAACAGATTGTAATTAGAATCAAGTCTTTAGCAGGCTTTTCTTCAGCAGGTACTCTTTATTCAGCTAATAGAAGTCATCTCAAGCCTTGTTCATCTTGAGTATTCATGCAACTCCTGCTGGCATTTACATCGGCCAGCCCTTTGAAGTCCTTTTTATGAATAGATACAGTTATATCAAGAAAAACAGACACTGACGGCAACAAAAATGACACCAGTGCTTAGAGATTTAGCATCAGTGCTGTTATACAGACTTGAAACCTACTAATTGAATTTTTGATTTACATAACGATCAAATTAACAAAATGACTACTTAAGTACATGTGGATTTGCAAGGCTCTGGCTTAGTAGGAATTAACATGTATCAAAGTTAACTTTTGCTGGCTTAACTTTAAAAGTTTTCTGCTTAGAGTTTTATTTGTATGTTCTTGACGTACAAACTGCTTTGGAGTAATATACCACCAAATAATTTTGATGTAAATGTTGATGACAGTATTTCTAATTTAATAACTTATGACATTATGAAATTGATTGAGGTATGTTCCTCATGAGTCAATAAAGGATGCTGGCGTTTTTAAATCTGCTGGTTCAAACAGACTGGACTGCTGTATCATCAGAAGAGCCCTGGAGATTAAACAACCATCTCTAAGGGAAGATCCTACTGAAATCCATCCCAAACATCTGTAGTGTGACTAGCTAGTATGCACTGTTATTAAATGGAATGGATTTCTTTCATTACAATTTTTTTATAACATGGGTGGGGATGGAGTCAGAAAATGGGTTGCGCGACTGTCCACATAAAATTGCATAAAATGTGACTTAGCAAACATATTTTCCCCTAGTGCTAAATTCCTACCTCTCAAAATCCATATTTAGATTTTTAGCAACGAAGCGTCCTGTTCAAAATCTCATGCTATAGCATGTTTCTGGTACAGATATCTATGCACTATTCCTTATTCCGTATTGTGTATGTTTTTCCCTTCCCAAATGGTTTTGTAAAATGAATTCTTGTTTACAAAATTATATTTATGATTGTGGAAATAGAATTGTTTTGATGATTTCTATTTTACTTATTGAATGCTTTTGTTCAGTTATTTTAATTGGAGATTTTTCCAAAACAATGTGGCAGGTTATATTTGATTATGAAGTGCATTGTGACATTAATAATGTCTAATACCTTTTAACTTGATATGTAAACTCCGCTTCATTGACTTGTAAACTGTCAATGAAACTTTGATCTGTGATAATTAACATTCAATATCTGTTAATAACCCTGAAACGCAAAACCAGAAATGCAATCCTAATTTTCTTAATGCAGTTTTGCAATATCTGAAATTTGTTTAATTGTGACATTATTTGAGCTCAACCCTCTCTCTATTATGGATGTCTTTTGAATTCTGTATACAGGGTATTGTAGTTTGATGTAAAACATTGCTGACTCTATACCTGAGGAAAATAACTTTGTTCCAGTCACTTCACTGACAAAATTATATCTATTATCAGCATTTTTGGACTTTCAGCATAGCTGTACATAATATGTGATCTGCCTTTAGTTTCAAATGCTGGTCAAAATTAGATTTTATATATATATATATATATATATATATATAATGGCAAGGCATATTTCTTATAGTTGATATACTAAATGCTATATTGTACAATCTGTAAAGATTATTTTTAGGTTTCTGAACATGTAACAGCTGTGAAAATGACTGGTCCAAATAAATTGATATTCTATACATTTTTTTACTTACTGTTGTCCTCTTATAATTTAATAAAAAAAAACTTGAAACAGCAGCATACATTTTATATTTATGTTTGTATTTTACATTATAACAAAGTTGCATGAATTAAAAAAAAAAAAAAAGAGGTCCCTCAGTGTCAAATGTCCACTGTTTTAGGGTGGGCAGCCATCTTGAGCACCGGTAGCCATGTGTAACCAGTAGTCCTGATTCTTGAAGCAAACAAAATTGTAGAGGTTTTCACCACCTTTGAGGAATCCATGTTCTGTGGCTCCCCACGACACAGGACTATCCATAAATCCATGCACAGTGAGGGAGATCCACGGTGTAAACTTCGGTTCATCGAAATACTGCCTGGATGATTCAAGGCAGAGAAATAAACAGCTTGTAAGTTTCAAAAGTACACTATACCATACTTCTAAAAAGAGTATGTCTTAGAAATATTACTTAAATATTATACTTATATATAGAGTTTTCAGACACTTAGTTGCAATTAAATGTAAATGTATTATAATTTAACATTAAATACAATTAGCTGAACTTTAAAGGGTTTTTTATCCACTAAGGGGGACTTTATATACAAGGTTCTGGCATGAAACTAGATGACGCAGTCCGATAGATCTAACTCAGTATGACAATGACATCACGTCACAGCTGATTGGTTCTCTCCTGTATCGGTAGCCAATGAGCTCGCTGCTCAACATTTAAATGTAGCAGTTTGCAGTGCACTTCAGAAACCCTCCACCTTCCCCAGCTCCACCTGTATAGATCTGCTAAGGGGTGATTCATGTATGCAATGGGGGTTATTCCACATATGTTATATGTGCAGCAGCAGTATTTCTTACATGCTCACAGCAGCATGTTGTGGATGTAATGTCAGTATCAAGTCTCGGTACTTGCTCTGCCGCAGCAGCAGCGTAGCAGATCTATTCTGCCAAGACCAAATACATTAACATTGTCATGTACATTACCATGCCAATCCCTCTGGGAGTTGTCATGACAGAAATGTACATCTTTGTAATCTCATTATTACTTCTGTTGTCTTATGAAATATGGTTAAAGTGTAAGTGTAAAGTGTAAATGCACTGACAAGAATTTAAACTAATTTAAACTAAAATATACTGTAATGTCATATCTATTGAAACATGTCATATGTAAATTTATTGCCATATCATGGCAGACACAAATGAAACATTCATCAACATATCATGAATACAATATTAAAATATAAAAAAAACAAACATTTTATAAAATTCAATTAAAAAAGACAAGATTGTACATTTCTATAAAAGATTACTTAAATGTACTTATGATAAAGTTTTTCTGGGTCAACCTGTATTTAATTACACATTAGTAATGATAAAGTTGCAATTTAGTGCATTTAAAATATATTGATTTTAAATATAATCTTGTATAACACACTACTGTTAAAATTAGAATCAATTACTTTACAAGTGCTTTGGTATGTTAGTCAACACATTAAAATTAGTATAATAAAGTGCATTTTTAATGTGTACTCTTTAAGTACACTTCAGTTGCCTTTTATTTAATATGAATTTATTTTAAATGTAGTTGTTAAGTATTTGAAGTATACTACCAGTGCACAGTCAATACAATTTAAGGCACTTGTTTTTCACAAAAATTACGACAGAACTTTGAAAATAATGACTATCTTGATCAGTGTTGTAATAATGCCACCGTGTTTATGGGGAAATTATCCTACAAATGGCATACTTCTAGTCGTCTCTGCATATTAAGTTGGGATACAGTAGGTGACAGTAATGCTGGGCTCTCACCTGAGTTCTTGCAGCAGCACAAACACATTCTCAGGTGAGATAAAGCCAGTAACGGTGCACAGCAAGGCCTGACTGACAGAGCTCTGGGGCTCTGGACACACATATGTCGACAGGAAACTGTCAGCAGCATTTTCACTGAAAACATACACATTTAGATTGAGAAATACAGTCAAACACACCCAGAACTCCTTTATTGTCATAGACAATTCATTTAGTCTCTTTGTGCCACAGTCTTCAGGTACTAAGTGTACAATATATGGAGCCAATTCGACTATTTAGCAGATGACAATCCCACAAGAGCGCTGCATTATACAGCAACTGGCTTTTGTGAATTTAACACTTCATAACTGTTCCTCAGCTCACTCACCAGCTGATGTCCAGGTTAACCGCTCCAAGCCACTCCAAGAAGTGATGTGGGTCACATGACAGTGTCTTTCCTTGTATATCTGATGGGTAAAGTGTGGGACATGGCATATTTTTCAGGGTGTGTTGGCTGAAAGCAGGCTTGTGCTCCTCATATGAGTACTGGGACAACAGCTTGTTAAGAGTCTGATCTTCATCTGAACCTGAAAAATTTGGAAATACAAAAGGCTAAGGCAATTTAAAAATGTGTTTGTTAAGGTCAGTGATGGGGATGATGGATTACTTAAGACAAACCTGTGTTGTATTTAGTGAAAAGAAAGTCATATCTGAGTGGTAGTCTGTCCTTCAAACTTGAGAGAACCCGCTGGTATCGTTTGGTGCCTGGGGTCAAGCTTTTGTCAGTGAGATCCAGAGTCACGACTGCAAAACAAAGACTTTTTATAATTATTATAATACTAGTTTTTGTGTTCACAGAGAATGTTATGTTTCACATAAAACACCTTCATTTCATGCATAAAAAGCTACTGAGAATAAAGAGATTTACCAAATCTCATGGCTTTTTTGTGATTGTACAGAGATGGGCGTCCCTCCAAGCCAAGTTGTTCATATGTGTCTTTATCTAGAGACAAAATTAACTGACCTGAAAAAAAAAAAAATGTTTAAAATGAATATTTCATGTCTATTAGTCCATGTCTATATACTAATGTATAATAAATACTAATGTATAATAAATAATAAATTAACCAACCACATTAATTCAATACATCAAAAGTATTAGAGTTTGAAGACAAGCAATTATCTCAATTATAGCAGAAAAAAAGTTTCAAAACCATGTAATTTTATGGGGTTTTTAGAATACACTGAGGACCAGTTGCATAAACATAGTCACTATGTTACGACTGTGTCTTAAGAACTAGTTTGATTAGCCAGCAGTTAACCAAGTGGTAATCAGTCTTAATTTTCAGATTCAAATTAGACCAATCTACGTTATGTAAAAGATTTTTTTTTTTTTTAATTATGACTCATCCTGCAGAAATAATGACTAACTTTTAAAGGTCCCATATTGTACACCTTTCTGGAGTTTTATTTGAGGTTTTGATGTCCTTAAGAATATATATTTGCGGTATAAGTACCAAAAACCATCTCAATATATTTTTACAGCTCCTCTCTCAGGAGCTCTGCTGAGAACAGGTTGATTTTGGTCTGTCTAATTCATATTCATGAGCCTCTCTTCTGATTGGCCTGTTGTGTTCTGAGTGACGCACGGCCAGGCCAACCACAGGTAACTAGGGTCAGCCGACGTCACAGCGCTAGCTGGAGGCAGCAAAACAAAGGGGAAACTGGAGGCGGCCCATTCAAACCAGCGCAGATTCGGCTACATAAGGAGCTTAAAATCTCATCTTGTTGTGATGTTGGGTGCCAATTTTACTGTGGACTGACTGTTTTGAAACTTATATGGTAGTTAAATAGCCCCTAGACAGGAAATTTCAGTTTTGACAATATGGGACCTTTAAGACTAGTCTAAGCTGTTTATGCAACCGGCCATCCAGACAATGATGAAGTAAGTATCTTGCTTACCGCTGGAAAGAAGTGCAATGGCATTGTCTTCATCAATTTTGGTGTTGTAAGAAAGCGCATAGAAGTTTCCTGTGTAAAAAGATAAAAATCTAAATGTCTGATTCAATATTTAAAAAAATGATATTGACGTACAATAGCATATTTCTCCTCCTACCCTTCTTTACAAGTGGCTCGAGGAAAGTTTCTTCCAGTAGTTGATAAACCGGCAGATCCCGCACTAAGTAATAAGGGCTGAAGCTGTGGATAACGCTGCTGATATTCGCAGGCAGGATCCCACATTCAGGTATCAGCACTGAGATCTGCGGACACAGCGGCATCCACATACAATCGAAGCACATTTGAAACATCAATATGTTGAGCAAATGTTTAATGATTAAACTCACTTTGTAATTAAAGTTGTGCTTCGACACGTGGATGTCATGCCGAGACTTTTCATTCAAGAAGTTTGATTTCTCGCACACCAACAGGCTTCTCGGGCACTTTTCCAGCTCTGGCGACATTTTGATACCTATGCGCAATGTCTACATTTTTATGAGATCAATCGAGCAAAAAGAAACAAGCTGATTGAACTCCCTGGTTATGTGGCTTAATGTTAAAAAAAACTGCTAGCAACATCTGTCGCAAACATTTGACGTCAGTTCCTGCTCACGGCAGGCTCATAAAACAGGTTGGAATCCATCTTATCCCCATTTTAAAACTGAATTAATATCACTTCGTAAATCTCTTAGTTGTATAAATAACGAAAAAATCCCAAAGATTTATAAAATATTATGAAGAAATGTTTAAAGAAAATACATGCATTTAAAAGCTTTCCCTGTATATTAATGTCTGTATGTTATTGTATCAATAGTGGTAATGTATGCATTCTTGTGTCTCCTTGTCTTGTCATCTTTTGTTTTTCATTGTTTTTTGTATAATTCTTTTTTTTTTTCTTTCTCTCTCTTTGTTTTATTATATGTATTTGTATGTAATTCCTTGACAATGTTCTTATGTTATTGAGCATTAATTAAAAAATTAAAATAGAAAAATTAATAAAACAGTTTGGATTTGTTACTTTATTTTAAAAGCTGTTCGGGTTATTCTGATTTATTATAAATAACGTTCCATGAGGGTAAATTAGTATAACCGAGTTACTACCAAAACTAGAAACGATAATATACATACAAATGTATAATAATAATAATAATAATAAATAAATAATTAAAAAACTAGAATGACTTATATATATATA